TTTGTTGACTTGTGCATTTGCTGTCCTTTTTGACTATCAATCTCCTTTGGCATATTCCAATGTTTCTAGGTAGTCAAAAAGGGTGCGGGCTCTTAAAGTTTTTCAATATCCCTACCACGTGGGCACAAAGTTCAACTATTGAATAGCATGTATTTCCTTTGGGAAGTTTCCATTCTTCATTTTCTTGGAATTTTCAAGGATTAGATCAAAACAATAGGTATTTCTTTCCATTATGTAACCCAACTGGTACCGTTGGACCATGTACAAAACGACAATTATGAGTAAATTTTTCTTTGATGGGCAAAATTAAATAGGTAAACTCGAATTAATCACGTTAAAAGTTTTGCATGGTGTTGTTGCTTTGTTTTTTGAATATATAAAATTAGATGTATTTATATAAATTATGCAACGCACGCTTTTCTTTTTGGGTATAAGAGATGCTAGCTTATTCAAGCAATGAACCAAATCGAAAGCTAGCAAAGAGGAGACACAGTACAATGGATATCAAGTCCAAAAAGTTGTCAAGTTACTGTGTGTGGAAGCTTATGAAAAAGATATTTTTTACTATTGTGGTTGGTAGGGCACGGGGAATTACTCATATGAGGTTGTTTTGGAACGGCAACACATCAGTTGTTGGTCTTTTCTAAGTAAAATGCCCTTGTCAACTACGTCTCTACTCGTAACCACAAAAATTGCCTCTGATGTATATATTTGCATTGCTTTACTGCCAAAAAAAAATAAAACAAAATAAAATTGTAGGTTCGAAACTAAAGACCAGCCCTATATTCATCTGACAAAAACACTTGGACCCATGAATTGGAGGATATGGACACCTCCACTTTGTTTCTTTAGGCGACTTATCTGCTTAATTAGGTAAGAAAATGGTGTCGTGGTTCATTTTGATCTGGTTTGAATAATTGTTGATGCTTACCTCGGTACATGCACAACAGATATAATAATGTATATGACAGAGATTGGAGCTTGGGTTCTAGTTCGACTCTCCAACAATTAAACAGAAAGGTTGTATGTATATATGTTTTTTACTGCTTAATTTAATATCTTGTTTGCTTTGTGAAGTTTCAAAACTTCATCATCCATGTATAAAACGATATTAGCCCATCAATTTAAACATTTAACTAAACCAAGTTAGCTGACGGTTTGTTTTCATTATTTTTCTTCGGGACAAACCTTACCATAAATAAATTATTATATGCATGATACTGGTGTGAAGGGGTGGTGGTTAAGATAAAGGTAAACTGTCCCTGGAGCTCTTATAATTTCTATCAGCAGATGTTACTGACTTGAGGGTTTGATAATACACTTGGCCTCGTGCCGTGGGGGTGTTTTCTTCCTCAACCTGATATAATTCTTAATTACTGTTGCAAAAAGCTGGTCGCATCCAATCTCACTCAAACCAACTAGCTATGATCAGGCTTTTGGTCTTCGATTCTATCCTCTAAATGTGAATTTCTTGGCTGCCCAAAGTCTGCTAGCTATTACAGGGCAAATAATAAAGCTTTTTTGTACTCATCCAACAACCAACTCACCATATATCTTTCAATATTTTAACAACCTACATTGGCTTTTGTCAATTTTCACGCAGCAGATACCTCTGGCTTGATGGTTTGGTTAGAAATTGATAGCTGAAGATTCCCTAATCCATGGTTTCTTTATCAATTCTCTGAACATCCCAGCACTAAATTCTCAACAAAATCGGCCTTGTCTTTCATCATGTTGGTCACAATTCCCAGTGACCAATTCAATAAAAAGCGACTTTCCGTTTGTAAACCACCGAGCAAATGCCTGATAGTCAATGTTATGATAACCACATTAACTTTAAGCTGCAAATTGCCTTAATTAAAATGATTAGATTATGAGTTGCAAAGTCCTCTTCCAATTCTAGTTTTAATATGTACAATTGGTAGGCAACCGGTATCATATATAATTAATCCAAGTTTATTGAGGCCTGGATCAATGCTAATTATAACTTGTCCTCGGTTCCCTAAAATTTCCAAACACCACCAACCAACCATCGATCAGACCTCACGCTTCCCATCTGCTATTTGCCTAGCTTATATTATACTCATTTAGTAGATGCTTGTTTAAGACTTGAAAGGGAAAAAATTAGAAGGAAGGAAAAGAATATACATTTTAATTAAGACCTAATCACGTACTTAATAAAAATATATCCTCGAGTAATAAGCTCGTCTTAAATCATTTAAACGTAATTCACATTTTTCATTGACTCATCAACTTTGAGAAATTTCTAATTAACTATTTTCTCTACAAAGGAAGACAAAATAAAATTATATCTTACTAGTCTTCCAAAACTACAAATGATTTACTCAATGCTACAATGTTTAACATCTAGAATCATATGAAATTGACCAAGCATGTGTTACGTTAAAATCGAACTTTTGATCGAAACCAGAAGACTAGATCATGTTTGTTTTTTTTTTTTTAAAGAAAAAAATTAAATTTATTTTTTTGATTCATGTGATCAGTGCTATACAATGGGAAGTAGTCATTTGTCATCTCTTAAATCACGTTCTTATTATCTGAATATTAGAATCGGAAACCTGTAAGTTGGAATTTCAAATTCTAACCTTCAAAAGTTTAACAAATTTGAGGTTTAATTACATTTTTTTAAGCAATATATTTTTTTATATAATGAAATTTTAAAAAGTGAAGTTATTAGAATTTTTAATTGCACTTATTTAACATTTACTTGTAATATTAGAAGTGCAGTCATTGTTAGTATATGCAATTTTTATAACTACATTATATTCATAATATTGTTAAAAATTGACATAGAGGAAAAAAATCTATAAAAGTGCTGTATAAATTGTCCAAAAAATGTTATCAAACTATTTTTAATAGCACATTTGAAAAAAAAAATGAATTTTAAATCAAATTTATTGTAATGGCATCATCCAAATTAACTAGTTGTTTCTTGATGGTTAAAATCTTGAGCAATTGAGGTAAACAAAAAGCCTTCAAACCAATAGGTTCCAAGTTAAAATCCCAGAATATGTGGTTTTCTCTCATTTACTTAGGATTTTCTGTAATTGTATTTGGTTTCTTTATTTTTTTTTAAAATCAAATGTACAAGTAGAAATCAATTTAAGTAATGTATACTCAATACATATGAAACAATTATTACTACATTTAAGAAGAATTAATAAACAAATTAGATAAATCAATAAATCAACACAAAATTGAACGAACTTAATCCACTTAAATTTGTAATTTAAAAATGCAAAGATATCTTCCTTTTCATTGAAAAATGATCTCACTTACATATTTGGTTTCTCATTTTGAATGTACTAGTTATGCCACCTTAATTTATGCATTGGAAGTGGATTGGTTGGGATTTTATTCAAATTCTTAATTTGGTTTTTTCCAATTGAAAATTGGAGAAACCATTAATATATATATAACTTATTTAAGAAACATCATTTGTCTTATGGTTCAACTCATTCACTACCTTTTTGTTTCTTCTACCAAAGTTATATAACACCACTACAATAACAAATCACATGTATGAGATTTAAAATTCATTTATGATCTTATAATAATGAGTAAATAGCCTTTTTTTTTTTTTGCTTTTTTGAGTAAATGGCCTATTTGGTCACTTGACTTTTCAAGATTTTTGATTAAACTATCTTACTTTTAAAAATCATATTTTAGTGACCAATATTAATTTGTAGAAATTAGTGTTTAGGTCAAGAAATCGTTAAAAGCTATCAACGTTTGTCTAACATAGTTTTTCTCGTCAACTAATCTTGATCACATGGTTGATGATGAATTGATGTCAATGTATCAGCAGATCAAGGTTAACTTACGTGAAAAAACTATTGTTAGTGATCATCAAAGCATTGATTCTTTATAAATGTTAATGACAAAAGCATAAGTTTTCAAAATTAAGTAATTAAAATAGAAACTCATGACCAAATGGGTAATCTACCTTATAATTAAATGTAAATGCTTATTATAATTGTATTTAAAATAATTTTTTTTGAAAAAAAAATACAATAAAGGAGATTTCAACCCACTTCTTGGGGCCTTCTTCTAGAAGTCAAGGCTACCATGTAGCTAATTTCACACGTCACAGACGGTACAAATTGACCTATCCAAGGGAACAATTATACCCTTAACCATCCAAAAGTAATGGGACAAAAAATCATTGGGTTTGGTGGATTGAAGATGATGTTTCTTCTAATAAGCTTATATAAATTTCAATTGTAAAGTAGTTACATCATAGCTAAACTTATGTTATTAATAACAACTGTAAGCAAACAATCAACGTTTGATTACTTGATGATTGTTAATCATTTCATAGAATAGTTAGTTAAGATTTAAGGTTTTGCATTTATTTTCTTCCTATTGTAAAGACTATGCATAATATTTAACAAAATTTAAATAAATTTTTATTCTTTTATTGTATTAATGAAGCTTTTGTATTTTTATTTTAAATTAAATAAGTCTATGTGGTTAACTATGGATTAATTATTATTAGTTAAAATATTTAATTTTTTTTAAAAAAATATTATGTTTTAAAAAATAATTAATAATAAATATAATGAAAAAGACGTCCTTTCTAAATTGCTTAAGCCATTTGCTGTCTTGTTGATGTTGTTTAGCTGCATAGCAATATGCTACATCATGACAACCAACCCTCTGCTGGATTAATAGTGAAAGCTAGTTTTGTTTGTATTATCATGTCCTATTTAATATCAAGCTATGATACCATTATGCACAACCTTTCAGTGAAGTAATTATCATATAAGAATGCGTAAATATATAGAATTAAACTCACAAAGGAAAATATTATTCCACTTGATGTGATAATAGTTTATTAATTTAGTTTGGTATACCTTATTTATGAATTAATTGATTTACCCTTGAATTGATAGATTCTATTTTTAAATTTATCTTGCAAATCACATATCATGTCAGAGAGTACAAATGTTTGGGACACAAAAGGTAGGCAAGTTGTATGAATCTTAAGCAAATCAGTCTGCAAACTTTACATATATATGATTAAATGATAAACCTAGTTTGAGGAAACCTTTGTAAGATAATCAAAAGTCAAGGGCCTAAACACATTTGCAGCTTGCTCTTCTATTAGCTCCAACTGCCCTTTCAAGAGGTGCATATAGACCACCCAGTCACCATCTCCCGCCGGACTGGGCATCGGCATAACGTATCCACAAAGCCCACCCCATGGGAAATGGTATGACCCAAACGTGGGGCTGCCCCATCCGAAATCCACTTTTGAAACTGGGAAACGTTGCCCTGATGACACCACCAAAGCTGGCCCATCGTCCTTGCCCACGCAGTATACCCTTGTCATTGCAGGCTCAGGGCGGTGAGCTTCAACCCAATCAATCAGTCCCAGGAAATGTTCCTGGTCCGTCGCAGGTTTTAAAAAATCATGAACCTGTTTTGCCACCCAAGTCACAGGCTTCTCAACAAGTTCACCCACTGTCTGGGATCCGTACGGAATGGATAGCACATTCCCGAAATGAGAACCCATGAGAGTTGCTTTATCTTGGTCTCCTTCACCTAACCTTGACCTCCCATCCGCAACAATCCCCATTTTTGATATCTTGTCTCCATCTTGGGTGGCTACAGTCGCCACCATTTTCCACAAAAATGCACTAAAAGACTCAAGCTTGGTCCTGTTGTGTCCGTCGGAGGAAGCAAGCGACTGAAGCTCATTGAGTTTGTCAGCAGTAACATAATAAATGCGACTGATGAGATGATCAGTAGGTTCATGGAACTCTTCCGGGGGTGGCAACGAGGGTATTGGCACGTACATCTCATCAAGGGAAGGGTCAAAGCGCCCAGGGCGTCTCGGGTTCAGCAGAGATCGACGAAAGGATGGTACAACCGAAACCGGCTTCGAGCGAGCTATTTCAGCCCATGACACGAGAAACATGTTGGTTGAGTAGGCATCAGAAATTCGATGATCAAAGGAGCATGCCACCACTATACCCCCACATTTAAGTTCAGTTGCCTGTCAAAATTGAATGCATCCCAAGTTTAGGCATTCAACGAGAAAAGATTGTCCTAAACAATCTAACCTCGATTTCAGAGAAAAAAGCAAAAGGTTAATTAAATCCATGACTTGTTTACTTGTAATTCAAGTTTAATAGGCTCATTAGACCCAATTCTGATAGGCATGAATATAGATCAACTTTCCCAAACATCAATCAAGTTAACCATTGAGTATACTTCACACAACACTCTTTCACACGACTTTTGAGTGCAAGAAAACAAATAATAATAATAAGGATAAGGTTACTGAAGTCAGACTCTTCAATCTATTTGGTGTCCCATAGTCATCATATGAAGTTGCTAATTATTTCCTGACTTTTTCCTTCTTACGTTTTTTTATCTATTGTAGCCAGATATCTTGTGGGAACAAGTCAAATGATTGAAAGGGTTTCAACTACTACCCAATTTCTTCGTTAATAGATTCGGATTCTGACTTCCCAGTAATTTAAATGATGATACTGACTACATATAAATAAATATATATATATATATATATATATAGTCAATATTGCTGTTTTAGTAAAATTGAAGAAATTAATCTGGAAGGGGATAAATGAGTTGAATACTATATAAGGGAGCTATATATATATAACAAGATGGAAGATATGAATTGGAAAATGAGGTTTTGGCTTACTACTCAACTTAAAGAGAGAAACAAACTAATGAAAACACAAATCAAACACTTTCTCCTTTTCATACTTCAAAGAGTTAGAAATTTCAAGGTTCAAACCCCCTTTTACTCAGTCAATAAATAATTTTATTAGCATCTATCAAAGCTGATTATGACACCAGGGTAGGAAAAAACCCATGATAATTAAAACAGCGTAAGTTTCGCACAACAAACAGACATTCAGAATACCCTATCCTCCATGGTTAGGTAGCTATTTAAAAAAAAAAAACAAAACAGACATTCAGAAGGATGCAGACAAATAAAAAAATAGCTTTCCAAACCAACCCACAGGTATGCAAGAGACAGCCAGGTTTTGGAATTGGATTCATTGTGAGAGATCAGAGTTCATTATGCAGTCCAACCCAATAACATCCAAGCATAACAAAAAATGAAAATGAAAACAAGCTTTAAGTTGTATGTGTTGTGAAAGAAGCAGCTTAACCTTAGCACAAAATTCAATATTAAATTAAGTACCATCAGTATTACAATGCAATCATTTGTGTGTGATATGACTAATTAAGAAAGGGAATTAATTTTCGTTTTCAGACCATTTCTGTGGCTTTCTTTTTGGTAGGTAACATTTTTGAGGTTATGAGTTACGTCCAATAGTATTGTCCTGAGTCCAGGACAAAGATAAATTATTTTTATTGGGTAAGGTGAGGCAACACTCAAACATGCATGGTGACTTACCTGAATTGAGAGCACACCATGTTTCTTTTCGGGTACGAATTTGCCTTCAATGCTCTCATCAGGGTTATGCAAGTTGAGGTTTTCAAGCTCAATATCTGCATAAGCCTCAATGAAATCGACACCTCGATTGTTACAGAGAAGCTCAGGCTCCCCCAGAGCGTTTGTCACGACCTCCCCAGCAAAAGCGTAGTAGGACAAAAGAGCTTGAGCCAAGGCCTTCTTCAGAACACTAACCATGGAACCGAAACTCATCGTTGGTTTCTTGTAACAGAAGAAAAGTCCAACATCAAGTGGTGGCAGAAGCAAGTCCAGGTTGGTGAGTGGCAGCCAGTGCTCTTGGAATGGAAGAGCCGCTGCCACCACCTCCTTTTTGCCCACTGATACCATGAAATCTCCCTTAGCTGACCCCATTTCTGAGTAAAATGAGAGATACCTGGGTTAGCTTTGCTTTGGGTTAGAGAGTAGGCAGGAATTTATAGTTAAAAAAAGGGAGAATCAAATAATGTTCCTCTCAACCCCAAATTTCATTGTCAAAGAAAATGGGATAAAAAATATTATTATCGATAATGTCAATGACAAATTGTTCTGTTAGACTGTTACATCCCAGCTTGATATATATAGTACAAAACATATTGCTTCACACGGTAGCTGATCACCACCGACACCCCCTCTACAGCGTTCCTTTCTTAATTCAATCTATCCATATCCTTTTGCAAACAAGAAAGAACATGTAAATTTGAATAATTCCAGAACACAAAATGCAAAAAGCTTTCCTCGTTCAACACAAAAATGGAGGGTTTCTGCTCATTTGCCTTGTCCTACAATGAAGTATGTTGTACTCGAAACAGGTGCCTCCCATAAAACTGATGAAAGGATAGGACAAAATTCATGTTAATACATTTGGATAATCACTTGAGGATGGTAGAAGAGCCCATCATGGTATTTGTAATCAATAGTTGATGTATGCATTTCATACTCATTTGTATTAATTATTTAATTCTGAAAGCAGACCCCCCAACTAAAAAATGATACAACAACTCATCTGCCTTGAGCATTTTCCTATTTCAGTTCTACATTTGCTCGTGTCTAATCCAAAGATAAGATCATCATAAAACGAAATCATTTAACCTTTCCCAGTAAATAGTTTTCAGATGTAAATACTATTAACTTTCTTATCTTATCACTCTGTTTTTTTCACAATAACTTGCAATACTAAACCAACCATATATAAGGTATATTTACATATATATGTTAGACAATGCTATATATAGTTATCTCCATTAATTATCTAGTCTAATAATGGACAACATGTCCTTCACCGAATCATGCAATGGCAAACATTTTACAACAATTTCAGAATATAATCAAATTACAATGACTTAAGTTGTTCTTATATTTGGACACCGTCCCCAAGTTTACCCACTGCCCCAAAGTTAAGCTACTTTTCTTTCCTTGCCGTCATAACCAAGATCTCACCTAAAGCTCAAGACCTTTCACCTCTTACAAGAGGTGAGTCCAATCGATTAGATATTGATCATTAGTTTGTTAGTCTTGTCTTTCGAGTTTAATTATAGGGAAAAAAAAAAGACAATCGTGCCTATCATTTTCTTCAGCTGTTTTTAACTGTTAATATTATATTCCATGGGCAAAAGACTGATAGACATGCAGGCTATCAATTTATAGATCCATCTGTATTGCTTCCTTTTCATGGTCCTTGTCATAATGGAAATTTTCTGTAATAGAATAATCTTTATTTGCAGTTTGCACACCTAAATGGATAAATAGTTAAACAGCTTAACTGACATAAACGAAATTATAGTGCTTAATTTCATATTCGGATATTTAGTATGTGACTAGGTAACAATTAAAAATTTTAATCCGATATTTGTAAAGTTCGTATACCTCATTAAATAGTAAGATTTAAATTAAGATATCTTAAAAAGAACAAGTATCTTACCAGTTGATATCCCTGTAATTACATAATCATTTACAAAATCTGTATGCTGGTGGCAGTTTTATCAAGAAAGCCAGTACTTTTTTCTGTTTAACAGATGATTTTGGACCATACAAGTAGAGTTACCTGGTCCATCCAAAAAGCTAAGCTTCAAACCTTCAGATTAGAAATTGAAACCAGTTTGGCTTATTCCATGATCAATTTGTATAATTCTTTCAACAATGTAGCTTTCCAATCCAGGAGAGCATCTAGTTGAAAAGTCCAAGTTCTCCAACTCCTTGTAATACTGTGCCAAGACAACTACTGATGTAAACATCATTTCCTCATTGCATATAAAATTGGCTATCATTGGCCTTAGCCTACCCGTCTTGCATTATAAATTATAAAAGCCAATTTCTTGGCCGGCAAAGCCTCAGTTTTTTGTAGGCATTATTAAGTTACCTGGAAGAAAAGCAATTTCCAGTCATCCAACAACCACAAGCATTTGTTTATCATTTCGGATCTCAGACTTTCTCAATTATAATAACCCTGTTTTGGACATTTCAGCCGAATCAGCCCTTTGTTTTTCCCATATGAATCACTAAAGTTGGGGGCCATACACCAAGAAGTCAAGCCTTTGGTTTTCACAAGGGAAATAAATAGATAAAACAAACACAAAGACAAAATACATTATTTTTACTTGTATGAAGACTAGTCGTTTTACAATTGGTGTAACACTCTAATTATTTATCCATTTTTGATCAATTAAGCCTTCTTATTTGTTTTATAACAACTTTAAAAGAAATCAAAAGCACCTAGCAGAACTATCTATCAGCCTAACATAATCTTACCGGAAACCACATCGATCCAAGTCCTAACGTGGGGAAAGTGGAGGTTCTGCGAAAGGAGGGGGCTCCTTAGCATAATCCTAGGATTGAACTCAGTAGTCTTTCAATGTACATGATATTATTATTGCATCGTATGTAACCATTTGCAACATTGCTTCACCACAATAAGTTTCAATTTGTTAAGCTGTCTACCTGTTGTTTTACAACTCTTATACGTGCTTGTAATGAGAACATGCTTAACAAGAAAACAGAGAAGCATCCATGAGCAAAATGGATAAGTCAGAAAAGCATGACCAAGCATGGTGCAACTGACAGCCTCAAAAGGAAATAGAATTAGGCATTTAAATAGTTGCATCGGCAAACAATAATTGGAACACAAAACTCTTTCTTAAAAGATTCTGTTCTAACAAAGTTTAGTAGAAAGTTTTGAGTAAGACATCCAAATAAGCAATTATACATTGATTGCAACATTTGCCTTCCTTGTAGGGAGCACAATATTCTTGTTTCCAGGGAAGGCACTGTGAGAAATGTCTACGAGAGCCTTAAAACTATATGGCTCATGCATAGATAGTTCAGAAAGAACTTTCCTGTTCAGTTGGATGTTCTCTTTCATCAGTCCGTGCATGAAGTTACCATAATTTACCTATAAATAATACAAATAATAGAAACAGCAAAAGTTAGTATCCCTTCTGAAACAAAGTTCAACACACAGGCTGATGCTACAGTCAGCATACAAAACAAATAGCCTTGAAAAGGCAATGACTACATTTCTGATATGTGAGAAATAACAGACAACACGTCTGAGCCATATTTCTTGCAACAGGTTTTTTTTAACTTCCTCTTCTTAGTCTTATCTTCATTTTTTTGAGGGGAGGAAAGAATGAAAAAGTAACTAAGTTCACAACCTTCCTCATTCCTTCTTTAAAAGAAGAATAAATAAATAATTTACCTACAAATAAATAACTAGAAGCTGCCCTTTCTGGCCCCATGTCAGAAATTTCAATTAAATAAGCAACAGAGTCACGATAAATATATAGATCAATATCTTCCAGTTTGCCAGGCTAAATCAACTATGAGAAAGGAGAGAAACCTAAAGGCTGATTTAGATCTTTATCTTTAAAACACCAAACTATCTCATCTTTGAGAAGTTCAAGAGCCTATCAAATGTCTTTTGTGTCAAAGAACACAACTTAAAAGCAATTCACCAAATTACTTCCCCAGTGAAATAGCAATTTTTAATGATATAAGAAAATTATGGCACCTAACTCCAGCAATTTTTATATGCTAGATCCATGAACAAAAGCATGTTCAAAAGGTAGGAAGTAGGAACAAGCAATCACGAAAGATGTAATCTTTAGTGACCATAATAGTAATAAGCTAAGGTATGATGAGCAGTTCCACTACAACACAGGTGGAGATTGTGTGACAAAGGATGTCAACGGGAAACAGTCAGCTAATAATTATGGTTAAAGTTATCTTACTGCCGAACTCATTCCATTAGCATCTCTATGTGTGAAATGAGAGTTAACAAAGAATAGTGAGTGAAAGAGGGATAAACAGGCACATAGACAGCAACTATAGCATCCATAGTCAACAGCCAAGGCAGTACATGCATATGGGCAGCATGCCCAACAAGTATGTGGGCCGCAGCCGGTTCATGCTCCAAACTGTATCACAGTCAACTCATGCAAGGCGGGGATAATTACAAAATCAGATAATCATAGACTCAACCATATTCAATGCTGGCTAAGGATCAGTAGATGCTTTTAATATTCCAACAGCACCTTATGAGAAAGATGCATTTAGATTCCAAGTGGCCTATCGTTGGAGTGTCCAAGAGATCTCATGATAGAAAATGAGATGACATGAAGCAAGTGTTTAATAATGAAATAATATCGATGAACTGGACAGATATTAAGGTGATATCAAGATAGTGGAACTTTGGAGAGAAGATCTAATTGTAGTGCAAAAGGTGATGAGGGGGAAACGAGTAAAAATATTCTAAACGTAGAAAAACCAACTTATACGGCATATATAATATGATAGGAGTGGACACATAGAAGAAGAACGTATGCTAATTAAACACAAGAAACTTATCAATGAAAGGGAAGAGTAAACAAAAGGTTGGAAAGTTGAACACAAAAGGTGCTACTAATGTAGAGTAAACAAACATTTAGTGCAAATTTTTATATTTTTACTTTACTCTTCAATAATTCATAGAATTATATGGAGAATTGCATTATTTCACATTCATCTTTTTTATTTTGTCCAATTTTTCTATTTATTTCATTTGTTTTTTTTATTTCTAATAAACAAACTATCTCTTTGTTATATTTATATATTGCATTCAAAGCCTTATAAATTAATTTAACAATGTTGAGTTTTTTATTTTTTATTATATTAAAAATAAAAAAATACTATCAAATAGTTCTCCACATTTAAGAGTATTTTTGCATTAAGTTTATCAAACGCCATCTTAGCTTCTCTCTACAGCACTTCTAGAACAGCTATACTCGAACAATGCCGTTTAAGAAGCTCCAGCTGAGCCATGCAAAACCAAAGAAAATGAGAAAAATGATGGCAAAAAAGTGAAGAGATATGATTCAAGTAAAATTCTATTTCCTTTCGATTGTTTATATTGGATAAAACTAACAAGGAGAAAAATATGATTAGTTTGGTCGTTGATTTATTCATGAACTTATGCAACATTTGTAAATTATATGAAACTGCAATAGTCAAATCTCTATCCAATTCTAAATCTCTCCACCTTCAAAGGCACTCAAAAAGCTGATTAAGAAAAAAAAACTGCAAATGGTCATGTCTCTTCTATTTAGTTCTTTGATTACTCTGACTATTCAAATAAGACAATTTTTGCTCCCCCCCCCCCCCCCCCCCCCCCCCCCCCCCCCCCCCCCCCCCCCCCCCCCCCCCCCCCCCCCCCCCCCCCCCCCCCCCCCACCTCCCTCCCCCCTCCCCCCCCCCTCCCCCTCCCCCCCCCCCCCCCCCCCACCCCCCCCCCCCCCCTCCCCCCCCCCCGCCACCCCCCCCCCCCCCCCCCCCCGCCCTCCCCCCCCCCCCCCCCCCCCCCCACCCCCCCCCCCCCCCCCCCCCCCCCCCCCCCCCCCCCCCCCCCACCTCCCCCCCCCCCCCCCCCCCCGCCCCCCCCCCCCCCCCCCCCCCCCCCCCCCCCCCCCCCCCCCCCCCCCACCCCCCCCCCCCCCCCCCCCCCCCCCCTCTCATCTCTGTCTCAATCCAAACAATGATAATTAACCATTTGAATAGATTTTATCATTAATATTTCATTATTATTTAAATTATTATTTCAAAAATATTCATAAAATCATTATTACTTTACTCATTTTCATCATTACTAACTTTTTCCTTTCTTTTTCACGCTGCATATATGAGAAAAGCACCATCATCAAACCTAGGATGTTAACTTAAAACCTACACCTCCAAACGACTAGAGCTAAGCCTTGCTTCCCATTACTTCCTAATTTACTTAACCAATACCAACTTATTTCATTCTCCTATTCTATGCAAGAGGTCCACTATGTTTTGTTCAGGAAATCCTATTTCTTTTTTTTTTCTAAACATTCAAATGATACAAACGGAGGAAAAGGAAACCAGTTCTATGACAATGAAATTCAATTGATGGGCTCCCTTTGATAAAATAGACTTCCTAAAAACAGAATGCGAGACTCGAAGGATGGATGTTAAAATGCTAACATGTCTATAATGACACAGATACAGACTGTCTCACCCCACTAAAATTCTTTTATGTGCCTACATACACAGGTGTCTTGCATAAAGAACTTCAACCTCTGGCCACAGAAAAATTTCGAGCCTACATGTTTAATGGTGTTTTTATTTTTCGCTAAACCATAGGCACAAAAACTAACACTTAGTAAAGAAAACCACAGAGGAGATGAGAGCTCAAAGCAAAACCACAAGCCCAGAGTAACTAGTTGGGGGTACAAACAATGCCATCTACAAGTCTCAAACTCTATCACTGTATTCATTTCAAAGCTAATTAAATCAAAACCATGACAAGACCCAGAAAGATGTTACCCAAAATGATTACACGAAACGAAGGGATTGGAAACATAAAGAATTTTTTCAATTAGAAGAGGAATAGAAAGCAAATGAAGATATTAACAGAGTTGAACGTAATAAGGGAGAGAAAGGAAAAGAGAGATTACCCCATGTTGACGAGTCCCAGCATTAATGCGTTGGATCCATAAAGAACGCATGTCACGCTTCTTGTTCCTGCGGTCCCTATAGGAATACTGCAAGGCCTTCTCAACCCTCTCTCTTGCTATTCTTATACAGTTCTTTGCCCTTCCCCTGAATCCCTTCGCCAACTTGAGTATCTCCTTCTTGTTCATTTTTTCCCCTGGGTCTGCGTGTCGAGTGTTGCCAGCCTCAAGTCAGAGAAGAAGCTCAGACGACAAGGGCACGCCGCACGCAGCACGCTGCAGCGGCCATTAGCCAGTAGGATCGTGCGTAAACAAATTGGGCTGGGCTAAATCAGAGTTCTTAGCTCATTTCTTTTTGCAGCCCGACAACCTTATGGGCTCATTGAAGTCCTTAGGTTTGGTTTGAAGCCCAAATATGGATGATGGTTTTCCATTTTCATCATAGTAATTCTTGGGAAAAACACTTTTCAATTATTCAAAAAAATTTTAATTAGATCTTATACTACTGCATTCAATCAAGTTCGTATAATTTTATTTTACATCGAATAAGTTTTTATAATTATCGGTGAGTTAATTATCATGATTTAAAATATGATATTGTCGAAATGTTGATATAAAAGGTACAAAATTATAAGAGTTTATTTAATTAAAATAAAAATATAAAAATTTATTAAACGTAATAAAAAATAAAAATTTATTTAAATTTTTTAAAATAATTCAAGAACATTATAAAAAAAAAGTGAAATTTCAGAAGATTTGTACGAGTTGTAATATTCTACAAGCAAAACCTTTGATTCCAAAATACACTCCCATGTAGGTTATCCGTTAAGCCCAAAGCTAAATAAGATTGGAATATGCTTGTGTGAATAACGACACTAAAAACTAATGGTGGTGGAGCTGCTAGCTCCGGTCCTCCCAAGGCTAGAGGATGAGAAAGCAAAGCTAATTTCAGTAAGACAACCCGACAAATCATTATCGAAAGCAAATCAAGCCAGGCATATAGTAGAAGATATATAAAGATAGGCATAGACCCCATGGACCTTTCCCATTTGCCATTGAGCAAATTAACAACTACCACTAGAACCAGCACTTACCACCAAAAACTGACGTAGCCAAGGTGGGTCAAGGGGAGCTGTGTTCTCCACACCATGCAATCGGGATCAGAGTAAAACCAAAGTAAGAACAAGAAACAATAAGCTCATACTATTCAAGAAAAAAAAACAAAGGTAAACGTTCAAGGCGATGGTGATGATGAAGGGAGTGGCATTGGCAGCTGATATAAGGAGGAATCTTGGGGTGATAAAGGAGAGGGTGCTGGAGAAGCTGGCCGCAGCTGCAGTCCCTGCTGATGCTTTGGAGAATGCTAGGCACTTGTTGGAGAGTGCGGTGAGGGATGTTACTGTTGCTGCTCATGGTCTTACCAAGGATGCCTTGCACCGTATCAAGACTCATCTTGTAGACATTCTTCCTTCACTCTCCCCTGCCGTTACTAGAAAGGTACATTTTTTTCTCTTTTTCTCTTTTTTTTTTTTTTTGAAAGATGAGTTTTTATTAATGATAAGTTAGAATGTCGTGGGAAGTCTTCAACGTTGAGATTTGGAGATTCCTGTTAGCATGGAAGCTATCATGAAAAGAGCCTGTTCTAAACAATTACAAAAACAGCATCTGCTCAAGGGGCACTCGGCAGCATCTCAACACGGAATCTCAAAAATCGGCAGAGTTCTCTTTTTCTCTTAACCATTAGTAGTCATACCAAGGGCAAAATGCCTACTTTATAGGACCTGTTTTAAGATTGAGAACTTTGAGCTTGTAAGCAATGTCCCCAGTTCTTAAGATACTTTTATGTTTTGTTCTTCTTAACTCATCTTTGGGGTTGCACTCTTTCTCTTACTTTAAGACGGCTTGAAACTACAAGATATATAGAGTGAAGTCCTAGAAGCAATTCAGTTCACCTTATGGATTGGTACTCTTTAGTCTTTAGTTCTAATTGGTCATTTGAGCAGATGGTGGATGATGCTGAGAAGGAAGCTAATGAAGAGCAAGAAACTGAAGGTGAACATGAAGTAGATGAGCGAAGGCAAGATGATCATCAAATTAGTGGGAAGTCTCCATTTGTGTCACCAGTATCTTCTTTGTTTGCTCTAATCAAACCATTATCGAGGCTTTGAAGATTATATATGTAGGAAACTCTGACATACTTGTTTTGTCTACTCTTTTCTTGGAAAAATAAAGTGTAAAGAGCATACATTCAAATCTTTAGTTGAATAATGGAGAATCACTTGATGTAAAGAACGGTGACTTATGTGATAAGCAAAGATTGAAGAGCATGAAGCAATGTCTGCCAAGATGATCTTTATCTTGTAACAGCAATTTTTACAGTTCATTATCTGCAGTCATGGATGTTCTTTCTTTTCTAACGCATATGGTGGTCCGTGCCAAAATGAAACATAACTAATTGATTCAGATGAAGAATCTAATTCAGATATCAGAGTCCTATTCTTCTTTCATTTACATGTAAATATTTGCAAGGATAATAAAGCAAAAAGCTAGAAGCTGTAGTACTGAATGCTATAAAAGGATTGCTTCCTAGCCTTTCGATTTGTTATCCTCTCTGCAAAATGAGGAAATGCCATATTTGTGTTGGTTGTGGTTACTGATGCATACTCGGGAGACACTTGGTCATCTTGACACAGCAAGCCTTATAACCTTTCTTTATGAAGATATCATGTCAAGGCAAGTAATGCGCATATTTACAGGAGAATCACAAGGTTCTATGGCAATTTGCAAAGGCCAGCAGCGGCTGTCACGCTGTAGAGTTAAAGCATTTATACAAAGTTTTCTCTAGCTCTTCAATCATGCATCTGGGAGTTCACAAACATATCTTGGATAAGATAATCGTGGTCAAACAATATGGTGATGCAAAAGCATATGGTCAAAAGATTGAGTCAAGAATGAATAAAGTGGAATCAAGAATGAATGAAGGAAACTTCCTGTCACATTGCAGCATCAAAAACATATACAATTCAAGGTCCATAATCCTCATCTCCAATCAAATTACAAATATCGGAACACTCCACCAAGCTGCACATTAAAGAAAGGAACTTATTGGTTCATAATTTAGAAAGAAAATGAACATCCAAAGGACAATTGAACTAGGATGCAAGTAATCCTCTGCCTTTCAAAAGAAAAAAAATGCTCTGCCAATGTTTATTGAAGGCCTGGAACCTTTTGTTGAAGTATAGGCAGTCTGCCAGCAAAGCTTCTGGTGGTATAGATTATAGAGACGAGTCTACCTGACTTCTTGCAGAAATTCTTTCGTTCTTACAATTGGTTGCATTTATAGATACTTAAGTTTATGTAATTCTACTAACCTAACGAACTATTTTTTTTGGATCAGATAAGATCAAATAATTCAACTCTCATATCTTCAGTTCCTTTACAATATAGTGCTTAATTGAAGCTTAAATGATGTAACTAAGCAATATTGACTGGTGATGCTAGCAACAATATTTGCCGATTATAATAAGAGGAATTCAGAGATAGTACCAGTACTTGCGACTTCGAAATCCTTCCTTGAAAACCACTAAAGGTCTGCAGAGGATGAAAAAGACCATCAATTATCTTCTCAGAAGTAATGTGTTAATGCTGAATATAAGGAGCGCACATATAAGGAACCCAAGATCAATTCAGTGAAAGTACAGACAACTTTCTCTCAGCTGTGTTTTTATTCCTTTAAGCATTGTCGTGTATGATCATCATAGTTTAGCAAAGGGTCTACTTCAGCCAGGCTGCCAGTGGTTGTTCTATAGGGCCGGCCTTGGCCAAGCAAAATGAGATGGATCCTTGGAAGGAACTTCAGTACCTTCTGATATTAAGAGGACCTTCTCCAGGAGAGCCTTCACCACCTCTAATGCAAGTGGTGAGACATTTGGTAGTGCATGACTCAGCCTTCCTAGACTTTGGTCGCTGGATTCTAGGCTTCTTGCAGTCTTTGGAGGATGCACACTCTCCTGAAAGCGTTTGGGGTATGTTGAACAGAGTTTCTGAATCTTGGGGTACCTCTGCAGCCCCAGCTGCAGAGACTATAAGAGCACCAGCCGCAAGGAAGCTAGATGCAAGGTGGCATCTGCGGCTGTATCTGGTGAGGTAGCTTTTACTTTTGCTGGCAATGTTGTTGCTGCTATTGCTGTTGACACAGTACAATGAAGTTCTGACACAAAAGGCAGCACCATGGCCATAAAGTAGCATTATAGTGAATGTGTAGCTCTTTGTTGCTATCAATTCTGCTTCTTCATTTTAGCAGGGGTAAAGAAAACAAGAGTTGTCACATTTTCCTTATCTCTCCAGCAAAAATTTTCATGTTGTTGGTGGTCCTACGGCATCCTAACTGAGAAGAGTTATCTTGTGTCATTTTGTTGATCCACGTGTCGACCTTCGTTTTTGTGGCCTGTAATCAAGACAAGAGAGATCACAGTTACCTCAATCCATCTGACTCTACACTAGTATAAAATTTGTGTCAAGTCACATGAATTGCACATGAGCATTTCTTGAAAGCAAACAACAGCAGTATCATTCTTCAAGCACTCAGTTAATTCAGCAATATATGAAAATGTAAGATTAAATATAGTGGGAGAAAGAAAGACAATTCCTTAAACATTATATTGCCAATTTCCTCTGCCCATGTGGTTTATTGAGAACTTGGAATAGGAGGAAGGGGTAATGAATTCAAGACATAAAAGAATGTAAACACTGTTGAATATGACTTGTGTAACAATTGATGATATTCTGCATTACAATGAAAAATGAATTAAAATATTCGACAAGACTCCCCATTATCTGGAGCTTTCCATATACACTATACGCTATCCACCATACATACACATTTTCTATATCAGACTACATATGGATTTACAGAAAAAAAAAGACCATGCATGACCTATACAACGCTCATCATCTGGGCAGAAAAGAAAACAGAAATTGTTTTGTTGCTGACTTCCAAAGAGATATCATCAAGTTAGGAGACTTCTTTCTTCTTGTTTCCTCCTTTCTAGATGTCGTTACAACAAGATCCTTTTCCGCAGAGGAGGATAACATGTTATCGTCAAACAATTATCAAGTGTTTTTCTCCAAAACAGACAAAGCTGGAGTCAAATAATTATTTGCTTTGTCAGGCAAATGGGCGACCTGTAGAAAGAGCATGTTTCTGCTGCCTTAGTTCAAGTCATTATTGTTTACAAGCAATTAAAAGCTACTACATTCAGTTCTGAATACTAGAAAAGGTATTAATTGATCCTCACCAGCTCATAAAGCTCCCTCCCTTCCTCAGCCACGTATTCATGACATACCTGCACAAAAACAAGATTCTGTTAAGTTCCGTCATACTTGGAACTAAAATTTTCGTGGCAATCAATGTTACCCACATCAAAGCTCTTATTCCTTGCAGTTGAATCATGCAATGCTTTCACGCAAATATCAGCCACATCAACACAACTAATGCCCTGATGAAAGACAGAAAGTAGTAAGACAGGAGGCAAACTCAATAAATTTTATTAGAGTCCAAACTAATAGTGCATTCTCGCCTGAGAAATCCTGTTTCCTTGATCAAATATAAGAGCACGTTGGCCACCAGGTTCCTCCTGTAAGAACCAAACTTTGATTCAGTATATATTTTGGCTGTCAACAAACCACAGGTGAATATGGGACAAGTTTGAAAACATTTGGTACAGTAGATTCTCATTGAAATATATAGGAGTTCCCTAATGATTTTCTCTCGTTAAACTAACATACAGCCTTCTAACCATTTATAGTGAAGGAACTGGAGCACTTTAGCTAGTATAAACACTATACTTTTAAATGAAGTGCGTTTGAATCTCAGCAACTTCCCAAGAATGGTATAGTAGTACCTTTAGAGGACCAGGGCGAATTATTGTGTACCCAAGACCTGATCTTCTCAATGAATCCTCACCAGCCTGAAAAAAACTCAAGCATGAAACTTAAGTAAGAAAGGGAAAACAGAGAAGGAATGATTTTCACATGAACACAAGGATAAGACTAACCCTCTTGGCTTTCAAAACTTGCTCCCTTCGGTTTGGCTCAACTCCTAATCCTGTGCACGAAACTAAAACAAAGTCTGTTTCTTGCCCAGTCTGCAGGATATCAAGGCAAAATTATTTTAGAATGGGAGAAAATATCTAATCTCCTTAAAAATGTAGCAAATGGACTAGGTAGTAACTTCAACTGTGTCCCTTATGAGGTATTACCATCCTACTTTTACAAATATTTTGAACCAGATCATGCAGTATATTAACAAAAATATTGACACTCCAATCAATAACCTAGCGTCTAACAAGAAATCACTATTAACAGCCACATTGAGCACAGGGAACATCCATAAGCATTGTTTAGCACTTTTGCATCCTTGGAACCTCAAAAATAATAATAATAACAATAATCAGTCACAGATAGTGCTTTTTGTACTATTTTTCATCTTTCCTTTATCCACTCCACCCTTTAACATGCAAGCGAAGGCCTCCAAGTTAATTTTAAATGGTTGACTCACTTCAGCATAGCTGAAAAACATGGAACTTGAAGAATTGACCCAAAAAATAATTAATTAGTCATAGGAAGATTTTGACAGGCTCACCAACTTCATTGATGGAACTGAGGCTTCAAATTATGTAAATAAAAAGGTCATAAATCTATTCAACTTGGTAGCGGAAACCTCCAAGTTGGAGTAAATGGTTGACTCATTTCAAGATACCTCAAAATAACCCAATGAATAAATAATTAGAATCAGGAGATTTTAACACACTGAACAGCTTTAGTGATGGAACCAAGGCTTCACATGATGCAATTGGAAAAATGATACAATTATTTAGCTTGAAATTCAGATCAATGAATTCTGATTTTCAGCCATTAACCATTTATTTCTCCTTTAAAGTGCCCTAAATGTTGTAGACAATAACTAAAAATCATTGTTGCTATGACGGGGACGGGTATGATAGCTGTAGATTGACATTGATGCACGTGCACACATGCGGGATGTGCCTACATGCACACGCGTAGGTAGAATTGAGCAAACTATATGAAAAAAGCAAAATAAATAACAGTGGTTGTTTGCAACCCCATCCATATTATCTGAATGTATGTAAATCATGATTTTCAAAAAAAAAAAACGTATGTACATCACAAGCAGAGGCTCAAGCGTCAAAGCAGCAATGCCTTTTTTGCATTTAACTCATTAAAGTTAATGGTTACCATATGACAAGATTCAAAACAGGAACTCTTTATAAATGTTACCAGGAAAAGGTGCAGCAGTGGTTATTTTTGATGTTATAGCATAAATGATAGCATGACATCTAAAAATAGGGAAAAAAGAGAAACTGAAGGTCCTTCTGTCAATGAAGGAGGAATATACATAAAACACTTACAGGCAAAGCTTTTATATATTCCAATATCAGCTTGAAACTTCGGGGGTCTTGCTTCATTCCTGCTGGTCCTTCCACGGGCCTCTGCAGCAAGGATAATATGAAGAATCAGAAGTTTTGAAAGCAGAATAGTTGTTATTTGATCAGGGGGAATAAGAAATTGGATATATCATCACATATCACTGTAGCAACAGTATGAGTGATGTTAGCACTGAACACAAAAAGGTCAAGAATAAACTTCTGACCAATTAGGGGATGTCCAAGGAAGAAACAAAAACAATTAGTTTTTTGTTTGAACAGTACAGTAGAAAACTATGGAAAAGAATAAACTTTGCTGGTCTTATCAGTGAAAACAAAATGATGACATGATGTCATCAAAACTGTTGAATAAGAATTTTTCTGGAGACTATAAAACGTGAGAAAAGATTTTTGGAATAGACTGATAGAAGCTATCATAACAAATTTTCATTACAAATACTAAAATTAGAATATTTATTAAACCATGTACCAAAAAGTGGAGTTGCCACTGGCAGCAAAATGAAAACTTTCTACATACTACTCTAAAATACATAATTTGATTTTCAAGTGCCACTTCTTGAGTGTGTTGGTGGCCAAAGTTCTGACATGCAAGCCTAGATATATCTAATCTAAATATTAGTAATCCATCTATCATGGTGATATGGAAGCAGAAATCATCATTCAAGTGTATTATTAACGAAAATACCACCACCAAAAGCTCATAATATGTCATAAATTCTCACTACTTAACACCTGAAGCAATCTGTTAATCAAAATTTACAATATATATGCAGTAGTCCACGTGTTTCCATTTAAAAATTGAATGAGCCAGCTCCACATTAATGACAATCTCTACCCCAGAAAAAGCAGCATTCACAAAGTTTACTCCATAGTAGTAAAGAATCAAAAGAACAAATTTATAGGGCAAACAAATCATTGTTCCAATGTATTTTTGATAGAAATGTATTCTATCATTTGTATAATTATGACATTTTTTATTCATATCAAACAGCACTAGTGCAAAAGTTCATTTGACACCATAACAGATGGCCATATACAGTATCAAGTATCAACCAATAACAAATGAGAACAATAAGGTGATTAATTACAATGGCATGCTAAATTTCTTCCTGGTTTAAAAATCATTTAAAATATTCAATAAATACCAAGCTAGCAGTCATATCACCAAAGAGATCCATTAGTTAACAATTCTATAGTTTTGACCTCAAGATTCCACCAAAAGCAGAAAATGAAGAATCTATACAACAAACCTAAATTAACAACAAGATTTCCTTAGGCAGATTCTAAAAAATATCACATGTCATTTTCAAACTCATAACATACTTGATAATAGTAACAAAAATGAGCTTCAAAAAGATTTGATGATAGCCAAAAACACAAAGTCAATTACCATTCAAAGAATTATTGTCCTGAAACCTTGAGAATAAATGTAGGTAACGATCCCTCATACTTCTACAAGTTTTCAAACTAGGTGATAAAGGGCAAGTTTCAAAATACACAAACCTGTCTTCGTGGCTCAAAGCGTATAGTTAATGTATGTACAAGGAATGGATCTAATGGTGGGTCATCTGGTTTCACGGGACGGAATGATGAAAACGGCACTCTGACCTGTCAATCATGGGAAAGGGGAAAATATGTAACTTAATCAATACCCTTTCACCAACCTCTTGAGAATAAAAAGAATTGATGCATAGAATGCTCATGGTGGAAAGCCCATAGCTTTCTGAGGGATAAGAGAGCATTACCCTACAAAATCCTACTTTTGTGTTTATTCTTGCAAAGTATAATTTGCTTTGAGTTGTATCTGCTGAAGGACCAGCTTCAAGAATTACAACATAAGATCTTCCATTACCACCAAGAGAGAGAACTAGACCTTCATACCTGAACACCAAATATTCTATAAAGTGAGGTACACTTTTAAGGTGGAATCAATATATTTGTCAATAACATATAAACCAACAGTCAGCTTCTACTAAGTAAAAAGGTATATCGATGTGCTACATACCTGTCAAGAGTGCAACCTAAAGGAAGTGAAAACTTTTTTGACAGCTCAACATACCCACCTCTGGTGAAAACATAGCCTAAAGTTGAGAATCAAAAACAGAGTTAAAGACAGAACAGCCTGTATTTGCCACAGGCAATAAAACATATGGAGACTGTAAATAATTGTTTCAAGCTAGGCATGCATCACATTTCAACTGAAATTACCTGAGAAAACAGCTTGTCCAGTCTCAGTGTACTCAAACTTGGCAACCATTCCGCCATCGTACTTCGAAGCAATCACATCCTGGAAGTAAGTACCTTGACGTACTTCCCATCCATTCAATGAATCTTCAGATTTGAACTTTGCAAGCAGAAGCTTGCTTTTGCTGCTTTTTCCTGCCCGAATTTGTGCCAGTTGATTATTGTAGTCCTGCAGTGATGTTAGATATCAGTTCACCAAAGCTATTTTTCAGGGAGAAATATAGATAGACCATAAATCAATCTACCATGAAGCCATCCACAAGTTGCAATGAACAAGTTTATCAGTATGCTAGTCTAAAACATGGTAATAAAACTGTATAGAAGTAGACAATGTTATAATGAGTTCACTTGAGAAATGCCCAAGTCTTGGACAAGTAGAGAAAGTAAATTTAATGAAAAAGAAAAGGGCATTTACTGCCTCTAGAGAAGTGATGATTTGTTTTGAGCATTATGAGGGATGGAACATCCACAAAGAAAATCTAGCCTTGGAAGGATCATGCATTCATATGTGCATATTCGAATAAAAACGGAGTAAAACACATGCTCAAAATTGGAACAAACCTGCAATGCTTTGGTGAGGTTTAAAACCCCTTGATGATCAACTCTATAGAGATCCCCAGTGATAGTAGACCGAGCAGTGGCACAATAGATAATTTTGTTGCAACCTTCTACAGCAGCTTGAAGGGTGAAAGGCTCACCCACATCCCCAATCACTATCTCAACTGACCTAGGAAGCATGTCCAAGACCTCTTGATCTGCCTTCCTCACCAAAGCCTTTAATCACAGAATTAAGGAAAAACCATTATATTTAGGTCTATAAAACTAAGGCTACAAATCTTGGAGAAATTCAACTCTACAATTTATGACATTATAGTTTTCTACCTCCTTAGGCAAAGAAAATGCCGTTGCACTAACCAAACAAGCAGATAGAGAAACAAGTTTCAATTCCAAGCTAGAATTTGAAGCTTTAAACATGGGAAATCTAATTATTTGAACTCAAGCCCCTTAGACTTTCGCTCACTTGGAAAATAGAATAAAGGAGAAGAAAGTGGTGAACGCAAAGCAACCTTGACGGTGTATCCTCTGAGCATGAGCTTACGGACAACAATGCGTCCAACGCGGCTGGTGGCACCAACAACAAGGACAGTGGTGTTTTGAGCACCTGGAATGGCAAACTCACACATGGGTCCTTCTCTAATAAGCAAAGCATCCAAAGCTTCCCTATCATCGGCACGAGTTGTCCTTGAAATCTGCCCCAACCCAGAGAACTTCCTCCAAACCTCGTCAAATATTTGTCTGGATTTACGTCCCAACCCCACTGGGTTGACGTCGTCCAAACTTAACGAAACTTGCTGCTGCTGCTGCTGCTGTTGTTGTTGCGTTTGGTCTTGTGAAATAGATTCAGTTGTTGTTGTTGTTGTTGTCGTCCTAGTTATAGGAGTTGGAGGAGGAGAAGTATTTTTAGCTTTGGGCTTTTTCTTGTTGCCTTTGCCAGTGTTGGGAGAGGAAGCAGCGCGTGGGATAAGGAAGTTGGAACGCTGACAAGGAGAAGGTTGCCATTTCAGCCAGTTGGGGCTGCTGTTAAAACCATTGCTTAAACCGGTCGAAGCACTCATTGCTGTAGTTGCCGTGGCAGCACTCATTGCTGTTTTCGTAATTTTAGACTGAAAAAGCAGCTTTGATTCAGATGTAGCTTCAGTCTGTTATTATTCCCAGAGTCGATAATTTCCCCTTTCTTTTTTACTTTCACGTTTTTTCTCCCCTTCTGGCAGGGACGGGGAATGAAAAGAAAGGTGGGGTGGTTGAACGTTGAGATATCAAAATCAAAGGAAGAAGCCAAAGCAGCAACAGAAAAATGAAGACCACAAATCTTGATTAGAGGTTTGGGTTCCTTTGGAAGTGCAAGTTAGTTGCCAATAAGCGCGCCACGTTGACTTGCCTGTTTCCTTTCATTCCCTTAGCACACCCCTGCCTGCCTTCTTCACACCCAGCTAGCAGTAGTAGTATTCAACTCGTCAGACCATGCAACAAAATAACATTCAAATCCGGATAACTTTATTGAAAATTTTAAACATAATGCTCCACAGTCAAAAAAATTTGGCGCTAGCATTAAGGAAGAGAGTAAAAATCAAGCAGACCTTGATTGAACTATATAAGAATAATTTGACTAAAAATGAATTGCCTGCTGCAGTTGTTCAATGCTACTTATTTTTCCATCTTTTAAATAAGAAGCCATTCTACAAAAAGGGGGGTCAAATGTTCCAAGGGGAAAACATAGAAAGGAACCCAAAAAAAAAAAAAAAA